TTATTTTGAACTAATAAATTCACTCCATTTTGTCATGTGAATAAACATAATAGATTTTACCAGGTGGCTTTCCATGTTTTGGTATTTCTGTAATTAATAAGAAAAGATACTCAGTTTGGGGTTGGTGATGTGCCAAATGAGCATGATATGCATTCTCATTATCTTCAATTTTAAATATGAATTTTCGTTATTGAGCAACAAACAATAAGGTATGGAAACATTTGAAGGTAATTAAAAGCTCAGTTTGTTTCAAGGAAAATAACTTGTGGAAAAAGTTTCACAGGTCAGAGAAAAATGTCTCCCTGGAAAATAAGTTTCATGTTAAATATAATGTTCGGCCCACAAAAAAGGAAAAAGAAAACAATTGCAGGAAATTAATTTCCTGTTTCGGAATGAGCAAGTCATTTTCCAATTTCCACAAGGCTATAGAATATTAGAATAGGAGAACTCCCCAAATAGGATGAAAACATACTCATTTTCCAAAATCAGGACTTAGTGTTTAAAATTTCAAAAATAGAACTTATTATTTTTTATTGGACAAAAATACCCTTATAGGGGTTGGAGCACTGCCACCGCCGGAAATCCTCCGCCGTTCGCCGCCAGAGTGCTACCGCCGCTGCCGGATTGCCGTCATCAACTGACTGCCTTGATTATGCTAGGGGATTATGGGGCAATTAATTATATTAATCAATTATATAAGGGTAGAATTGTAGAATTGTAATGTTTAGTCCTATTTATGGAAAATAAAAACATGTAGTCCTATTTAGGGAATACTCCTATGTTTTAGTCCTATTTAGAATAGAATTATATTTAGTGCCATTTTCTCTATTAGAATCAAGGGAATATTTTTCTTTGGGACATTATGTTCTGGTGCTAAACATAGAAAAAGCTATTCTCGAAAAAGAATTCTGTGCCAACCACAAGAAAGTCAAAAAAAGAATCCTCAGGGTAATATTTCCAGGAACCAGATATAGCCTTGGCTTCATGTTGCTTTAATGTCCAATTGAAATTTGCAGCACCTGAGTATTTGAGTAAGTGTTGTAGTAAAGTTTAAGACACCCAAAAGAATGGGTAGCACATTATAGATATTTTAGATTAGTTAATGGCGAATTCATTTTATTGTGGGTTACATTATTTACTTGAAATGTCACACAAGGAATTGCATTTTTAACAGGTGATCCCCTTTTAGACATCATTCCTATTCATCTGGATGTGTTCAGAGGAAATCCACGTCTGTTGATACATTTTCTAGAAAGCTATAAACTTCCATTGTCACCACGGCAAGAAATCTCGAAAGGATTAGCTGATAACAACAGCAGATGTGCACGGCTCTCTTATCATGCCATGTAAGTGCAGTCAGATGGCTAAACTGTATATATTTCATCTACGGAGTATAAATTAGAAACATTATACTCCGTATTCTTTTGCATATTCTTAATCATATTCGGGATTCACTTTTCTATCGTATACCATGTACCCTACATAACCCCACATGTTTTTATACATAATATATCCTTGACACAATCAGTATAGTTCATTTCATTGTACAATTTTCACACAATACAGGTGCTATTGTATCCTGCATGATGATAACGTTTTGGGGGCAATTTTCAGCATTTGGAAAGAACTTAGGACAGCAAAGTCTTGGGAAGAAGTTGAGGAAACCGTATGGGGAGATCTAAACACCTATACCCCCGCTGCCGCTTCCTATTAGCAGCTTTGTAGCCACAACCATCTTTTCCTGTGCTTATTCTTCTCCTTGGGTTCCCGCTGTTTCACATCTTATGCTATACACATAGTTGTGGCTTCACCTTTTGACGTCAACGGTCAAACCATACTATACCAAATTTTAAATAAAGGGACCATTGAAGGTGAGCCCCATCCTTTGAAAGAAGAATTAATACCAGACTCCGTGAGTTTAAGAACCGACTGCAAAAATCTTGAAGCAACACTGTGAGTGGTTTATTTGTGACCTTGGACTATAGGATGAAATTTGTAGAAATTTGACGTCAACCAGTCATTCATAACTTAACTTTTGGATGAATTTTGGTGTTTGGACCTTGGACTCTATTTGTGAGTGGTTTATCACTTCATTGCTTGTAATCACAATTTACCTGAACGAAGACCCGTGCTTGTATCTTGAGCCACTGTTGATATTAAAAATACATTTATTTATAGGGAAAGTTCTGAAAATAGAGCTAAAAACTTTTTTAAATTTCAAAACAGTAATATTATATTTTTATTCCCTAAATAGGACTACAGGAAAATGTTTCCCTAAATAGGACTATAGGAAAATGTTGACATTGATAATGTCAAACATCTTTGGAATTTACAAACATTTTTATTCCTATTTACTCATGAATAAGCTAAGTTATTGAATATATAAATATATAATACAAGTATATGCAATGCATAAAAACGTGCAAGTTTTCTTAATAACTTATAGCTAAAACAATTAAAAAAACTTTTAGTAGAATTAGAAACATTCAATGTAAGAATGTTTGTTACATTGGAAATTGGAAATACTTATCAAATGGGCCGTAAATCCCGTAATATTGCCTATCATTCTATCAAGCTATTCACCGCGTCGGGTTTACTAGTGTACATTGGAATTCTTGATTATCTGAAAAAGAGAGTGATAACAACTAGGCGTGGGCCTGGGCCGGTGGTTCAGGAATAGGGGACCCGGAACCGGCCCGGGTACTCCCCGGGTCTGGGCCGGGCCGGGCCTTAGTTATTTTTTTTCTCTTTTCCTAGTTAACCCCCAACCTCCCTGCTCACCCCAAATGGCCCAAAACTAGGCCTAAAGTATTTTCAAAACTACAGCACTCAATATTTTAGATCTAAAACTACAGAAATTAATAAAAAAACAGAACAACATAATTAAGCAAAACTCTAAAAGACACCCATAAAAAATGAAATAGCTGATAAAAACTCCAAACTCTTTTTGAAAACTTCATCTTCCCCCAAATCTTGGCCTCTCGATCTTTCCAAGGCGGCGGTTCAGGAGGGGGACGAATCATCAACTCATCATCTTGTTTCTCCCTTTCCCGAATCTGGATTTCACTGTGCCAGATCTGCCAAAACAACCGAGTCAGTCGCCTTCCCAACCGTTTGGAGGCCAAATCAGCCCCTTTCTTCAAGCCCGAACCCATCATTGTACCTCCCGGATAAAAAATCACAGGTGTAATTTCCATCTCAATGACCAATAAGGCCAAGATAACCCAGCCCAGCATCGAATTACCACGCCTCGCTACCTTACTGGTTGCAAATTCGCAACCTCCTCCAGAATCGATGATCGCCAAAGACAGCCGGCCATCGCTGTCACCCTGCTCCATGTCGTTTGCCCAAAAACACTAAATCAAAATCGTCCGGTGAAGTTGCTGTCGAGCGAGACACCTGCTGGAGTCCTAATGCTTCCTCGCGAACAGTCCAGGTGCTTCGAGTGAGACGGAATCGCCATGCGAAGAGAAGAAGAAAAAACGCGGACGAGCAATATATATCGCCGCCCCAACCCTAGGCACGAAGCCTCCCACCCGCTATTCTTATTTTCAATAAAGGTATTTTCTAGAAAGTAAAATGTGAAAGTAAAATATATTATCAATTTCAATATAGAATATCAACTGAGTCAGTAATTTAATAATTTATAAAAAGAAGTGATGGCTTCACTAGGTCAAGAGAATATCACAAGTATAAACTGACTAACCGAGTAAGAAATTTGGCAGCGTAACAACATGCTAGATAATTAGAATTATCATCCCTTTGCAAACGCTAGAAGGTGATATTTATAGTGTATAAGAAAATACTTGGTGAAAAACTAAAAGTAATTTATCCATTGATATAATGCTACATATGTAAGGCTAATTGAGGATAAAATATCTGGTTTGATTGATTAATTGGAACAAATGGTTGTCCTTTGCGATTCAGAATGACGTGTAAACCTGACGGTGGCTAATGTAATCAAATGCATGACGTCAACCCTAACATAGCTGTGACAAGGTGACGCCATCCTGAATGTTGTGTAATCTTTAGCATCGAAATGTCTAAGCCCGCAATCTCTATTTGAGTTCATGAGCTCATCCTCAATGATGCCCATGGATGTGTGTGATGACGTCAAGCTCGGGTGTGATGAGGTTAAGCTCATCTTGATTGCAGGGAGGGGGGTGGGGGCTTGCTATTTTGATCCTAGGGTTCTGGAGATGTGTCGAGCCTCAAGCTCGTATGCTATCCTAGGAATGTCGTGAACCTCGGCCATGGGTCGACCTCGGTCCCGGAAGTTTGGACTTATCTCGATGACACGAGGACGGTTCTCGAGCTTGGTCTTAGCAGGCTCGGGCTCAACTGAAATGGGCTTAGCGCATTCTGGAGACTGCTTAGCTTAAATGTTGATACTGCTGAGATATATGAGAACTACTCCATCAAGATGTCCTACGTTTGAAATTTCCAAAATAAGAATGCTATGTTTTTATTTCTAAATATGAATTATTACTACTGAAAATGATAACAAATTTTTAAAATGGCAGTAGCACATTCCTAAGAAAAAAATTGTAGTTTTATTTTGAAATTTTTAACATGCTTACTCTTATTTAAGGAATTTTTCCTTTTATAAATGATAAGTAAGTTTCATATTGAAAAACAAGTTCATATTTCAAAGGTAACAATGTAATTATTATTTCAACATATTAAAAATCATTCTAGAAGCTCCCAGCTTTTGAAAATTATTCCAGTGTCCCTTTGTTTTGAAAATAAAAAATCCCTGCTCTCTCTCTCTCTCCAGCAGATTAGCAACTTTCACTTGGATCTAGTCCAATCTTGCTCACTCCAGCAGATTGGCAGCTTTCACTCAAAAGGTTGGCTGGTTCGGGTGGATGAATATGAGGTGATTTTTTACCTCAAATGTGGGAATATATTTTTATTAATTTTGGAACCTTCCTAGACTTGGATTGCATATAACTTTTAGCTGAAAACCCCAAATTTTTCCCTTTCCTTTTTTTTTCACCCATGGATCGAGTATTTGAGTGTAATCAGCCTCATAAAGCGGCAATATGTTAATCTAAAAACATTTTATACAAGTTTTTCAACCACAAAATAAACAATGCATGACAGTCTATTAAGATCAACATGGGAAGCTTTGGAATCAAAGGCAGCTAGCTTGGTACTTGGTAGTAAACTCAATTGGACAGGCAGTTTTTCATTTCCATTCCCATTTCAAAAAGAGTTTAGAGTTAAATCACAACTTGAGTCAATATAATCATCAGATATATTGTAGGATGCATCATCGAAGTCGTCAAGAAGTTCCATACTCCCCCCACCCAATGAATATGTTTCGCCTCTCCCCGCGTGAACTACCACTCTTCTCGCCTCCTCAATTATACCCAATATCTCCTCCAAGCTTTGTGTAGGATTATTCACATCCATGCTTTCATAGCTCCCGAACTCCATTAGTTCTATAGGCAAGTTCTTCACAAACCATGGGTGTCTTCTAATTTCAGTAATCTTTATCCTCTGCAAAACACAATGGGTCAACATTATACTACCAACACATATCTCTTTTAGAGCCTGTTTGGTAACCTAGTTTTTTGTCTCATCAACCTACTTTCTACCAAACAATGAACTTGCTGAATTGTGTCATAATCAAAATAAGAAAGGCTAAAGTATAATTTTTTCATAATTTAATACATTCATACAATTGAGCTGTTTAAGCTAGAATTTCATAGCAGATTCAGCTCATTCAGTCAATTTCAATCAATTTCAATGTTATCTAATAGGCTCTTATCGTGTCTTTATTCAAGTCTATGCATATACAACGAGTTGATTCTCATATTAATTTAACAACCACAGTGGTGTCATACTTTACCTCTTCCGGATTTGCCACAAAGATTCTTGATAGAAGATGCTGGCACTCGACGGAGATGTGAATATTATTGGGGATTGAATATTGGGTCCCAAGTATTCTCTGTAAGCCAGAAAGGATTTGTAAAGAATGCAGTCAAGAGGAAGAAATAATAAAGTGTGTTTGGTAAAGATTATCTGGCTGATTTTTTAAATCGAAAAAGCGTTGGGCAACACTTATTTTAGTCGAATAAGCAAGTCAAAAGTTGTCTACTCTGCTCATAAACAACTTTTGGCTAACAGAGCCCAAGAGCCTAAGAAATGGATGTCAGTATGTCACTCAACGCTCTTCCATTCATTAATTTAAGCCAAACAATCTTACCAAACAGAACCTGAGTATTACTCTCTTTTTATTTAATTCTGAAATGTGTTGGGATATTATTGGGAGTTAGTTGCTCACAGCAATGGTCTTTCTGAAGTTTTTTGGATCACTTGGATCTTCAAAAGGATAAGCACCAATCAGCATCACATATAGAGTGACTCCACAAGACCAAATATCTGCAAGCTAAAGTAGTTTTCACTTTTCAATGATACATTACGAAATTAAAAGGTCATTAATTAATGTGCAACAAACAGTTCCAATGACAACATAAGAAGGAAAAATGAGATGTGGGTATAAGCACCTTCCCATCATACTCTTTTCTTGTCAGCACCTCAGGAGCAACATATGCCGGTGTTCCCACAGTTGATTTCGGTTGAGAATGAAACACTTCTGACTGCAAAAGGTTTTAAGGTCATTTGCTTTGATTATATGATGACAAGAATGTAACTCTCTACTCTTAAAACAACAACAGCAATTATTACTACTTGATGTTCCATTAAAAGCGAATCACATAATGCTCTTTTATCTCTTATTTCATATTTAGTCAATGTAAGACAGCTTTTTCAGCAACATAAATAGTAAGGATAATAAAGAAGATTGACCTTAGAGTAGCCAAAATCACAAATTTTGACACGCGGGGCAGTACTTCCATCTAGTAATGTGTTTTCCAATTTGAGATCTCTATGACAGATTTGCTGAGAGCCAATATAATAACCATGGACTATCAACATTCAACAAACAAGATGGATAATATGATAATACTACATAGATATTGACAACATTATTACTATTACCATTGAATGGCAGTAGGAGACGCCAGATATGAGTTGTTGAAAGAAGAACCTTGCCTGACCCCAAACAAGACAAAAGACCCATCCAGCGATCAGTTACTCACTCAAGTATGGTGGCAATCCCACATTTGAACAACTAGATTATATTAAATGAGAAGCAAATGTCTTAAATGTATATCACTAAAACATAATCGCTTCTCATATGATTACTGATATAGTATTCGAATAGAATATGTTGTCAAAGGAGAAGGGTAGAGACCAAAGTAAAATTTAAGTTTTAATGATGCACAAACCTCATCTTCATTAAACCTTCCAACACTGCAAATCCTGTGAAAGAGTTCACCTCCGGCAGCATACTCCATAACTATTGCTAGATGTGTAGGTGTCAGCAAGACCTGCATCATTTCAATCATACTCCCCAATTCCTCGTCATGATCTTATTCGAAATAGAGAATGAAGATCGAAAAAACTTCTGTTCAGAAGACTAGTGATCATATATATATTGGTTGATTATTTTATACTGGGACAAATATATTAACAGTAATGACATCATATTAAAATATAAAGTTCTTCCCGTGTAAGTCAAATATACTAACAGTCAACATTTATATACTACTTCTATATCATAATAAATACTTCCACAAAATTATACTAGCAATAGATGATATTCGATTCATTTATAGAAACAGACATTTATAGTCCGTTTGGTAATCTCATTCGGCTTATTATGGTCAATAGCGGCTTTTAACTTTCTTTTTTGGCTGAAATGTAATTTGCGAAACATAATTCTTCACAAAAATCAATATTATTGGGTTGGAGTCCATCAGCTAGACCACAAGACACTCACTTCAAACCACACTAAGGTTGAAATCTATTAAGTAGTTCAACATAAGGTCTTATTACTTTCTATCGTTCCATAAAGGAACTTATTCAATCAAAATCCATAATTAGTTAGTCAGAGAAAAAAAGAATAGAAAGAAAGTATCATTTCTTTAAAGTAAGTAGCTAGAGAAGTGAGCAATTATTTCTGTAACTCACTTCCTTGAATCTGACTATGTTAGGATGCTTCAATGATCTGTGATTCATGATTTCCCTTTCCACCAGCTCATCAATCTGTCATTCATAGAAATGAAGGCAAAGAAGACAGATACCAGCAGACAATAAGATAAATGGACTATGCATGTTATAGAACTTAAAGAAAAAGGAATGATCCTGATCAGAAAGAGAAGGGAAGTGGGAAAAAGAAGGTGAATTTAAAAAAAGACTGAAAGACCTTTTGGCCCCTTTCAATGAATTTAACAGCAAAGAGGTCTTTGGTGCTCTTATCCCTCACAAGCTTGGCCACCCCAAAGTTACCAGACCCCAAGTCCTTCACTATTTCGTACCTATCCATTTCAAAACTTTTCAAAATTTTGATGCTAAATAAACAAAAGATGGAATCTTTCCTGCAGTAATGTTTTCCCTGGTCACTTTCTTGCTTCCTCTTTTGACTTCCAATTTCCAAACTTCTGTACGAGCTTAATGAAATGGCTATGGGTGCCCAGTTTTGTAGATAAAAGGAGGATAGGTCGGTTCCACCAAAACAGTGTGATAAGAAGAAGCTTCCTTGTTGGGAGTCCCGCAGCAGGGAAGCTTAGGGACTATACTAAGTTTCTTTTAGGAAAAAAATAGAGGATAGAGTGGGATTTAATTGTTGGAAGACGCGTGGATAGAATTACACAGTAAATGCCCCGATCCCGAGAGAGAAAATGGAAGGAATGACATGTGTCGCCGCATCAAAATCGGCTGTGCTGGTTTTTTTTTTGTTTTTTTGGACATAATCGGCTGTGCTGGTTGAGTATATAAATGATGAGGACTAGACTATGGAGTATATGACTATAGTGTGCACTCTTTAAAGTCTTAAAATGCTACCAATACCCATGTATTAGAGCCATTTTGATAACACTAAAAACTCGTGAATCAAGTCAATCTATAAAAATTGATGACATTTTAATTGATGTGATTGAATTAATTTAATCTATTGAATTATATTTATTAATAAAATTAAGAAAAATTATATAAAAAATTAACTGAAAGTAATTTTAATCAAATTTAATCAATATTATTTATTTTGATTATTACGAAACTCGACACTTGAAATCAAAAGTCGTGAATTTAATAGAAAAAAGGGGGATAAGATCGATAAATTAAATATAAGCATTACCAAATAGACGCTTAACTGAGTGTCTTAGTCTACTACTACTACTCCAAATCCATAAACATTTGAAAGGAATTATCAAATCATATTTCTTTTTTAAAAAAAATGGGTTAAATAAAAATAGTTTTAATTTTGGAAAATAATAATTATAGTAGTAATAATTTATCTCAAAATCTCTTTAAAATCCTTATTTTTTTCAATGATGAGTGATTTACACAAGTTTCTACATTTTAATTTTTATATTATTTAAAAAAGTCTCTAAAAACCTGTATTTGTATGATTGACATGACAATTTTAAAGAACTTACTTTAGAAGCTACATTTAATAGCATCTGAAATTTTTTTGTAATTTTAGCATCAATTAGTCACAATAATTTATATACCAAATATTACTAAATCAAATATTCAATTTTTATCAAATAGTTGCCGTGTTTTTTAAAAAACTTTTCAATTATTAAAAGTTAACAATTGTGAAATAAATCACAAAAATATCTTTTCTGACTGATTGTGTCAAATTGCATCAAAAAAAGTTAATTGTGTCAAATAGTTCCGACTATTTTTCTAACTATAAAAAGGTGAGTTTTGTATGATAAATGAATAAACCCCAATTTTTCATAGTTCCGACTCAATCATCACTGCCAAACCATCACAAGAGTTTGTGAAACAATTGACTTCCGGCAACCACAATCGTGAGTCGTGACACTGATTGTATCATTGATTGTTACAAGTCTCATACAGTCACTTTTCACAAATTTACACAAAACTCACCTTTTTATTCATGGTAACTTTTTTTAATGATACCGAGTATCACATAAAAAAACTGCACTATTAAGGGACGCAAATTATACCGTGGGATCATCCCACGGTGAGCACGGTGCTCCAAGCCCAAAAACGACGCAGTTTTGCAATTTAAAAAAAACACGGGTGAACAGTAACTCGCGTGAACAGTACACGCATGAACAGTAACTATTTTTGTATTTTTTCTTGTTCGAGTAGCAGAATGATATAACTCGTGTGTATAGAAATGTAACTTACGTTAATAAGAAATGTTACTGCAAGCAAGTCAAAATGTAACTTGTCTAAAACATTGATTTCAATGTAAACAATAAAAAAAGAAATGTAATTGCTTTATTGTTTTAGCTAAATAGTGAATATGTTTTAAAGAAATACGGAGTATTTTTTTCCAATAAACTGTTTTTTTTGCAAATAAAAAATTGATTTAAAAAAATGTTTTTTTTATTTCAATAAAGGAGGTTTATTTTGTGATGTAACTGTGTTATGGAAAATGTAACTCGTGTTATAGAAAATATAAGTCACGTTTACACAAAATGTAATTTGCTAAGACAAGTCCAAATGTAACTCGTGTACATGATGATGTAAATCACGGATAAAAAGATGTAACTCGGGAACAAAAAATGTAACTGTGTATATTTTCAAATGTAATTTGAGCCAAATCAAAATATAATTCTTCTTGCTTCAGACTTGAAATATAATTTATAGAAGTATTATTCGTCCTTGAAGATTGAGTTTTCACGTGGTAGTGGGTTCACTTGGAGTAGTAGTTCAAATCGCATGAGCACAATATTGCTTTTACCGGAGTAGTTCTTGGAGTAGTTCACAGAATTGTATATACCTCTCTGATCTACTCGTATTGCTTAATAACTAAGTCGGCCGCACCAGTTATCCCAAGCGAATGAGTTGATTGCTTTTTAATTAATAAAACTGTGTCGTTTGGGTGTGGGAGCAGGGTGCTCAACCTGTGGTGATACCACGGTATACGAACTCATTAAGGGGATAAATAGATGTGTTGATTTTAATCCAACATAAGATTGTAAATATAAATATAAAAGGTGTATGAACTAGCTATTTTTACGTGGAAATTAACCCGGAAAAGGAGAAAACCACGGGACTTTTTAGGCTAACGTCCAAGCCCGCTCTTTCCCATTAATATGCTCTCCTCACCAATTACATAGTACATATTTGGAGCCTCCATTAATGGTGCTTGAGTAACTAAGCTATCAAGAATACATAGTAGGGAGGAAGAAGAGAACTCTCCTGGGAGCATGGGCGGATCCAGGATTTCATGTTGGGCTGGGCTGAAACACTTAAATAATAATACATTGAAAATTTTCAAAATAAACAAAAAATCAAATATAAGAGTTCTCCATTAAATTCGTTCTCAACGAGGCTTTGAAACAAAACGAACCAATCAACAATAGAGTCTACATCTATACTAAGAGTAATGTCTTTTTCAGTATAAAGTCATCATCCATTTTGTTGAGGAGTGCGGCCTTTAGAAGTTTCATGGCATAAAACGAGCGTTCTAATTTTGCAAAAGAACACTAAGTTCAATAAAAGGAAAATCAATCTACTCATCATAACATATGAATTAGATTTTCTGCTCTTAGTCAACTCCTCACATAATTCAACAAATGTAGATACTAAAACTTTGTACATGAATACATCATGAACATAGTGTTGCAGCTCGAATTCCAAAGCATGAATGTCCTGACTACTAAAATTTTCGGGATAGAAATTCCTTGCAAGAGTACAAATAACATCGACATTGGATGACCCATATAAAGTTTTGGGATCCAATGAAGCACTCAAAGAAAGGAGTTTTACTGATTTATCATTAAATCGGGTCCTTAACTCCATCAATACAAAGTCTATTGCCTCATTGAAAACACCAAAGTGATAATGATGTTAAACTGTAGTTTCTTTCTGCAATGACCAACCGTATATTCAAAATTCAACTTCGGTACATAAATTTCATGTTTTGAGCAAAACTCCTTTACTTCTTCAAGAAAGCCTTCCCATCCGTTTTTTGTCAATTCCTCTAGAATGATCGGTTGTGTAATGGAAAAATGTCTCTCATGGCTAACAAGATATCAAATAAAAAATTTCGAAGACCTTGACAGAATTCATTATTTCCATAACCAAGCATTCCAGCCCAGCTGATTGTGAGGTTACCGTGTCTAGTGGGAGGTCTCGAGTTCGAAATTCGCTAGGCACACAAGGGTGCGAAACTCAATGGATTGAGTTTCAGCCCTGATTACTCCAGGCTCCCCCCAGCCCCCCTTCCCCCAGACCCCCTTGGAGTAAAAAAAAGAAAAAGAAAGTAAAGGATCACAAATTCAAAACATGAAAAGTGTTTATGTACACTATGAACTTATGCCCAAGAACTCACTTTTGAGCAATGTTTTTGAAGATACTCAAGCACTTTAAAAGTTGTTGTGAACATGTTAATAAAGTCCTTATATGTATATACTAAGTGCCAATTATTAAGTATGAGGGTGATGTGTATAACATTTAGATTAGTTTTTTAGATGTTAAGATTTTGTATTATGAGCTGGGCTGAGAAATTGGACTGGGCTATAGAAAAATTTGGGATGGGCTGGATGCAATTTTTTAAACATAATACCTTAATAATAATAATTTTTTTTTTACTTTGCCCTGGGCTTCAGCCCACCATAGCCCTAACATAGATCCTCCCCTGCTTGGGAGAGAAGAGCCAAAAGAGCCTCCTCAATCAGGAAGGTTGGCTTCCTATTTATAGATGGGGGAGGGGGTAAGGGGTTTTCTCCATGGGCCGAGTAGGCCCCAACGAGCTGGTTGGCCTAAATGATCCTGACTAACTGGGCCCCGTACTGGGGCGGTGTATTGGGCCTCTCTGAATAGTAGTAGACCGGGGTAACATACCCCAACACAAGTCCCCCAGTTTCTTTAGTAGTGAGCCTGCAAATCTACTTGAGAAAGTATACTCTTGCTCACGTCCTTTCCTGCCTTCCCTGAGTCAGTCTTTGAATAATCTTGGGTGCAAGACATGCATAAGCCATAAGTGAGGTGCAATCCCGCACTAGGCACGACGGCGCTGTAGAGCCAACCGCTCGTGCTGCATAAAAGGGGCGGTCGCCATCCCAGATGAAGGATGGACGAGCCCGACCGAGAGCCAGTCCCGACGGTGCTGTGGAGCCCGTGCGTGCTGCATAAAAACGACGGTCGCCATCCCAGATCAAGGATGGACGAGCCCGACCAAGAACCAGGCACGACAGAGCTGTGGAGCCCGTGCGTGCTGCATAAAAGCGGCGGTCGCCATCCCAGATCAAGGATGGAGGAGCCCGACCGTGAGCCAGGCACGATGGAGCTGTGGAGCCCGTGCGTGCTGCATAAAAGCGGTGGTCGCCATCCCAGATCAAGAATGGACTAGCCCGTCCGTGAGCCAGGCACGATGGAGCTGTGGAGCCCGTGCGTGCTGCATAAAAGCATCGGTCGCCATCCCAGATCAAGGATGGACGAGCCCGACCGAGATCCAGGCACAACGGTGCTGTGGAGCCCGTGCGTGCTGTATAAAAGTGGCGGTCGCCATCCCAAATCAAGGATGGACGAGCCCGACCGAGAGCCAGGCACGACGATGCTGTGGAGCCCGTGCGTACTGTATAAAATAATCAAAAGAAGAATGTTATCTTTTATTCCCCAGCTCAAACCGAAC